GGCCAGAAGGTGTCCTTCCACCTGGACGTGGCAGGTCAGTTCCTTCTGGTACTAACTTAGTCTTGTTTGGAGGTAATGAAGCAATTGCATTACAGACCCCACAGGCTCTGATTCTCCTTCCATTAGTCTTCACCCTTTCACCTCTGCCATCCTGGCCTTCTAATTTCATAGGCAGGGCTAGACCAGTGGACGTTTAATGAGAAGGGTGTGTAGAGCGAGAGGGGCCATTTTTGGGGCCCTGAGTGGTGCTTTCATGTCATAATGCTTACTTATGCATCTGAACACCTGCACAGAGCACTCCCAGAGTTCCTTGGTGCACAGGACTATGGCTGTGCGTCACGCTCGGGTGCTGAAGTAGACTAAGCATCCCACACCTTGGTTATCTGACTGTGCTTTTTTGATTGCCCCAGATGCCCTGTTCAGGAGTGTATCGGGTTCTTGCTAGTGAAGAACCTGATTTCTTTAAATCAGGATAGGGGAAGTTTTGACCATATAATCATACTTGGAAATATTTCAACTAAACTTTGAATTATGATGTTTTAGTTGTTTTAGGACACTTTTGCACATGGATATATGCTCTCTGTGCACCTCAATGCAGGGATAGTTACCAGATCAAGGGAACAAAATAAAACAGAAACAGATTCTTACATAAATGGACTCCTGCCAACCCCCAGGTGTTTTTTGTTTTGTTTTGTTTTTACTGCAGTGTCTATGCAAGAAGTAGAGAAGGGTTGTTGTTTTCATAAATAGTGCTTGTGTCACTTAACCATATGGAAAAAAATAAATTGTACTGGGAATTCACACAACATAAAAAAATCAACTCCTGGTGGGTTGGAGACCTCAGTATAAAAGCTAAAATCGTAAAACCCTCCAATGACAGCACAATTTTTTAAAGAGTTAGTAAAGAAAGATTTCTTCAACAGAACACAAATACCCTAAATGCAAGGGGACAAGATAGACCTATGTGACTACATTAAAGCCAAAATTTCATTCATCAGAAGAGGCCATGAGAGAGTGAAAGGCAAGTCACAGAGTTGGGAAAGGAACTTTAAAACACATAGTTGTCATTTTTTAACATTTAAATATATAAAGAGTGTCTTAAAATGAATAGAGAAAAAACAGTACTATTGGTGTATGAGCAAACACACGAAGAGTGTCACCACCGAAGAGCAAATAGTTATGGCCAGCCTAGTAATATTGGGGAAGGTGCCCAGCCTCATGAATCAGCAGACAGTGACAATCGGGGGAAGAACAATGACTCCCACCAGATAGCCACCAGTTGACAATACTAAGATAGGAAACAGCTTGGAGTCTCAGGAGCTTTGTAGACTAGAGGTAGAAAAATTACCTTCAAACCATACAGAAAAGATCTGATGTCCTCTAGAAAAGTAGAGAAATACATGTATCATGACCCCACAGAGTCCATATACATGGGAAGTTTCTCAGACTCCCCACCTGGAACAGCCCACGTGGAGCAGTGATAGAGTGTGTAGATAAATTGTGTTCGTTGTTGCTGAGAAAGTGGTAGGACTTCTTCAGACCACACAGCTGGTATAGAGCCTGGAAAGAGTTCCAGTCCCCCCTCCTCCCTGTTTAGGCCTATTTTCCCAGGGCTTAAATTCAACTAATTAACATATAACGTATTATTAGTTTCAGAGGTAGAGTTCAGTGACTCGTCAGTTGTATATAACACCCAGTACTCATTACAGCATGTGCCCTCCTTAATGCCCATCACCCAGTTATCCCATCTCCCCACCCACCTCCCCTCCAGCAACTAGCAGTTTGTTTCCCTAAAGTTAAGAGTCGCTTATGGTTTGTCTCCTTCTCTGATATTGTCTTGCTTTATTTTTCCCTCCCTTCCTGTATGCTCCTTGGTTTTTGTTTCTTAAATTCCACATATGAGTGAAATCATATGATAATTGTATTTCTCTGATTGAGTTATTTCACTTATCATAATACCCTGTAGTTCCATCCACGTTGTTGCAAATGCAAGATTTCATTTTTTTGATGGCTGAGTAATAATCCATTGTATATATATACCACATCTTTATCCATTCATCTGTCAATCCCAGGGCTGTATTTTTGACCTACATGGTATCTTTGACCCCATGCATCCTTCCCTGTCCCCAGAGCCTGCAGCTGTGTTTGCCAAGGAGCAGCCAGCACGCAGTGAGCTGCAGGCCAAGGTGGGGGCCAGCGCCACCCTGAGCTGTGAGGTGGCCCAGGACAAGACGGAGGTGACATGGTACAAGGATGGGAAGAAGCTGAGTGCAAGCTCCAAAATATGCATGGAGGCCGAGGGCTGCAGCAGGCGGCTGGTGGTGCAGCAGGTGGGCAAGGCGGACGCTGGGGAGTACAGCTGTGAGGCCGGGGGCCAGAAGGTGTCCTTCCAC